CCAGAGAACCCTTCTGCACCCCAACTCCCTCAGCCCCAGCCCCACACCAGAGCATGCACTCCTAGCCAGAACCCTCATCCCCCCGCACTCCAACCCCCTCCCCCAGCCCGGGGCCCCCTCCCATGGCCTGAACCCCTCATTTATGGCCCCAGCTCAGAGCCCTACCCCCTCCCATGCCCCAACTGCCTGCCTCAGGCCAGAGACCCCTCCCATACTCCAACCAACCCACTTGGTTCCACCCTCCATCCCGGAGCTCCCTCCTGCACCCCAAATGCCTCATCCCCAGCCAGAGCCCTCACCCCCTCCTGCATCCCAACCCACTACCTCAGCCTGGAGCCTGCACCCTGAACCCCTCATTTCTGGCCCCACCCTGGAGCCCGCACCCCCAGGCAGAGCCCTCACCCTCTCCCGCACCCCAACCTCCTGAGCCAGCCCAGTGAAAATGAGCGAATGAGTCATGGTGGAGAGAGCGAGCGATGGGGAGGAGGGTATGGAGTGACCGGGGGCAGGGCCGTGGAGAAGGGGCAGGGCCTCAGAAGAGGGGCAGGGCAGGGGGCGTGGCAAGGGTGTTCAGTTTTGTCCAAGTAGAAAGTTGGCCACCCTAGTCTGAACACCAAAGCAGAACTTCTAAACAGATTATCTTTGGAGCCTAGTGTCCGTATTGACTTTTGAACTGGTGGTGTACGAATGTGCGTTTTGAACGTCACTCAAGAAGTACACGTGTGAAGAGCTAGCATCAGTGCAGCCGCAGAACGGCCAAAATCTGCACATCTGCAAGGCCAAGTTTAACAAGGCAGTAAATGAAAGCCGTGCTAAATGAGGCACAACAAGAATTGAATTGCTTCAACATTGCCTTTATTTATTTTTTGCCAGGCAAGTAGTGTGATAACGGCCAAATCCTGGGAAAGAATGCATAGCCCAAATAAGGGAGTTGTGGACTCCCATGCTCTCAAAAGGCACAAGGTTGAGAAACCTGCTGTCTTGTAGCTGGTGTGCAACCATGTCTCCGTGGGTATGTCTACATTGCAATAAAACACCTGCAACAGGCCAGTGTCAGCTAGGGTGACCAGATGCCCCAATTTTATAGGGACAGTCCTGATATTTGGGGGGTTTTCTTATATGGGTGCCTATTACCCCCCACACTCTGTCGCGATTTTTCATACTTGCTATCTGGTCACCCTAGAGTCATCTGAGTCAACCTTGTGGGGCTCGGGCTGCTGGGCTGCAGAATTGCAGTGTAGATGTTCAGGTTTGGGCTTGAGCACAGGCTCTGGAATCCTGCAAGGGCACTGGTGTTTTGCTACAGTGTAGACTCTACCCTGTGTGCTTACAGGCTGTGGGACTGGTACTGAACGTGACCTGTCTCCCCTAATGATGTCCACCAGGACACATTATGACACATTATGAATGGGATGGAGGTATGTTCTATGTGAAATTTGTTCTGGTCACACATACACCAGTCCTGGAAAAGAGGTAGTTACAAACAGCATGCAGGACCATCCCTTCTTTCAGGAATCTCAGCCTGCTTCTGGGGCACTCTGCCTCAGAAATTGACTCCAATTACAGACCAAAGAAGAGAGCGAACTCTTCTGCAGATAGCATAGCACCTGCTACACAGCCTCGTGCATAACAAAACTAACAGCAGCACATCTTCCCAATCTTCACACAATCGTCCATATTCTTTCCTAGTATGTAACGATGCCATCTGTTGACTCTTGTCATAACAACATCTAATTATGTATGTCTATATTGAACCAACAACCAGGAAATTCACGGTGGAGGTTAAAATTCTTAGCATAACTGATTTGTTTAGAGTTTTCTTAGAGTTCCTACACAAAAGCATAGCTCAAGTGCCAGCCCTATCCTTTGGCAGTGAGGGAAGGAAACTTACTGGCATATCCTGTATTCACTGGTAGGACTAGAGAGGAAGGCATCTCCCAACATACATTCCCAACCCAATTGAGTTTGCGAACCGGATCCTGCTCTCGCTTGAGTCCTCAGCTAAAAGGAGCTGCTTGAAACTATCCCTCTAAGCTGCAAAATAAATTTAGGGGATGCAACGTTTTCTGGGCAAAAATGATTTTTAATGGAGCTGATGAATGTTGATTTTTTTTCCCCCCATCAAAAGTGTTTATGAGAATTTTGAACTTCAGCCCCCAAAAAGGGGGGCAGGAGGGCATTATTGTGAACACCCTCTCCTTCCCCCATTTTTCCACCAGCCTTGGAACTCCTCAGAATTTTTTGAAATTTGGAAAAACTTAAGTGCCTTGCTGAATCACAGCGATAATCAGTCAATTTACATCTGTCGTTTGTGTGGGCTTTTCACATGGCAACAAGGAAGAAACATTTTAAAAATAGGAAAAATTGATTATAAACTACAAAAATGGGCAGGTGTAGTTTTTTGTTCTTGAAACTGCTTTTAATTTGTCTTTTTTTGTTTTAATTGACTAGATTCCAAGTTGACAGCGCCCCTCTAAATGCACCTAAACATTCAGTACATCCCTAGGGCGTCAGCAGTGCAACACAAGTATAATAATAAAAGAAACATAAGTATATTTTTAGTATTGTTTAAAGTTTAAAAAAAAAATCAAATGAGTGGTAGGAGAGATGTTTTTCAGGAGGTTTCTGTGTAAAGCAAAATAAACTTCGGAGATTTTGTAAACCAAACGGTTCTGGCTACATTGAAAACCTCTGAAAACAAAGATGTATCTTGAAATTGCTGAACGTCTTCTAATGATAATGAAGCCAGTGTACCAGGATATAAAACGACTCTGCATAGGGCTATTGTACTATACATAGGCTTGGAAGGATTAGATCTTTACTGGTAAATGTTGGCAAACATCCATTTCACCATACAAACACAAACTGATGACAAAAATATTTACACATAGGCAGGGAAAGAAAAATGCTACGTGAGAACTTAGAGTCAAAATGCAGTGATTTCGACTTTTGAATTAGGCTTGTTACAAATGGACTAGCGAATGAATAATGAACAGGAATAATTCCTCACTTTAAGGATATTTACTTTGTATATTTTGACATGGGATGTTGACAGTTTTAATGGTTTATAAAGGTTTAACTTTTTGAATTCAGTGTCTATTGTCATTAAATAATTGTCTGACTTCCCCATAATTTCATGCAGCCGTGAAAATTTAAATCAGTAAAAACAGAAAAATGCTTAAAAATAAACATTGATGATATCAGTTGAAATAAAAAAAAAATCAAATTCTGCCAAGCTTAAACACTTCCCAACATAGCTAAATTCATTGGGCTGTCATCAAATTCCTGTAATGACACAGTCATCTGTTTGGATGCTGACCAAATTTTGAAATTGCTCCAGAGCCTTTTTAGTAACTTCACTTGCAATATAAGGATCTGATTTTAATGGGACAATATTAGGCCAGAATATGCAAAGCATATAACCCACCCTTATGTGATAGTCCAGTAGCCAACATTACATCTCTTGTCTATTACATATTTTGTTATTTTTATAAAGTTAATTAAAACATCTGTGCTCCATGGGGCATAAAAATAGGGCAACTACTTCTTAATACATTGGGAATTGAAAATGTCCGAGTCCCCCAAATCTATGCTGCTTTTCTTTATAATGGTAAATGTTTGATTGTATACATATAATTGACGCACATATTTTTATTATGGTAGTGACTGGAGGCCCTATTCAGGAACTAGCCCCATTGCATTGAATAGTCTGTGTGCACATTGCTTTAAGCAGGGACTGTCTAATACTATGTGCAATTTAAGACCCTGATCCTGCAAAGAAATGTGCACATACATAACGTCAAGCATGTGAGTAGCCCCTTGATTTCAGTCACTTAAAGTTAAGCTTATGCAGAAGTCTTTGCACGATTGGAGTCTAAATAGACAAGATAGATAAACAATAACTGACAGACAATGTATAAGGGATTCTGCAAGTAGCTCCATGCAGATCAACTCCTGTGCCACTTGAAGCCCTGCTGAAGTCAGCAGAGTTCTGTGCAGCTGTAGAGATGCTCCCATTCAGAGATGCTTGTCCAGCTGGGACCAATTAGAACTGGTTGAAATACTTTGAATAGAAAGGGTTGGGGAATATTTTTGGTCCAAAAAAAAAAGGCCTATTTAATTTGTCTACCATTTTTGTCTTGGGGGGGAGAAGGAGGGGAAGTTGTGCCTTTTTTTAAAAAATGTTTTTTAATCCAAACTGTTCTCAAATGTGATCAAAGTGGTCATCAAAATTTTTCATTTGATTCAAGCCATGTTTTCCGTCAATCAAACTTTTGGTAACCCATTTTGATAACAGTTTTGACAGTGTTTTTGATAAAAAGTTGCGGGGTGGAGCCAGATAAAATGGGTCAATTTCAAACACTTAAAGCAGGAAAAAAAAGTTGAATTTTATTTCAAAAATTGGTCTCACTTAGTTAAAAGTGCAAAAGTGTGATGTTTTGTTTAACTCCTCCAAACCAATTTTCTTGTCCCTTTCCCTCTCCTATGCACAGATGTCCCAGCCATCTTTTCTGCCAAAATTCGTTCCCGTTAACCTGCCAATCCCAGAAATAGCTTCTTTTCCCATACAAAAAGCTGTTTGTGCTGACACGTGTGTTTTCTCTCATTTATGGTACTTACACAGTGCTACCTGGATTTATGTGACGACACAGCTTCAGAACCAGATTCTAATCTCAGATATGAAATGTACCACCACATATTTCAACAAGAAAGTACCCCTTAAAATATCAAACTTGAATGCATACTCAATAATTCAGGTTTCAGAAAGCACCTCATCACTGACATTAGATGCTGGCCCTTGATTTCTGCTGTTCAAACCAGCATCAGTGTATAAACTTAACCTTAATTTTACAAGTTCTTATGCATCATTTGTTTTCAGCTGAGCAACTGAGATCTCAATTGTGGCGTAGTAGCGTTGGCCAACACTGTGGAAATCATAAACATCTCATAATTTAAAAGAAAAATATTTCTAACGTGGATGTTGCTTCTGTCTCTTTCAGTCTATCCGAGAAGTCACGGGATATGTCCTGGTTGCTTTGAATCAGTTTGAGTACCTCCCGTTAGAGAACCTACGCATCATTCGTGGGACAAAACTCTACGAGGACCGAAATGCCTTGGAGATATTTCTTAACTACAAAAAGGATGGTAATTTTGGACTCAGGGAACTTGGCCTGAAGAACTTGACTGGTAAGGAAAACACCTATAAATAGCTGATTGGTCATAGTGGCAGCTGAGCTTGCTGAATATTTACACAGATGCCCTCGGATACTAGCATTATAGATGGGCCACATGTGTACCTAGATAGATAGGGATGTTGAAAGTTGTATGCAGTTAAAAGATTTATAGATTTGTCTAATCTAGTTCCCTTTTTGGTACCTAGCAATAGTATTCCTTTCAGAGTGGTAACGGTGTTAGTCTATATCCGCAAAAACAACAATTGGTTCTTGTGGCACCTTAGAGACTAACACATTTATTTGAGCATAAGCTTCGTGGGCTAAAACCCACTTCGTCAGATGCATGGAGTGGAACATACAGTAGGGAGGTATGAATACACAGCGTATGAAAAGATGGGAGTTGCCTTACCAAGTGGGGGGGTCAGTGCTAATAAGCCAATTCAATTAAGGTGGAAGTGGGCTATTCTCAACAGTTGACAAGAAGGGGTGGAAATCACTTTGGTAGTGCTTATGAGGCCAGTGTAAACAAGATGGCCCATTTCAAACAGTTGACAAGAAGGTGTGAGTATCAGCAGGGGGAAATTAGTTTTTGTAGTGACCCAGCCACTCCCAGTCTTTATTCAGGCCTAATTTGATGGTGTCCAGTTTGCAAATGAATTCTAGTTCTGCAGTTTCTCGTTGGAGTCTGTTTTTGAAGTTTTTCTGTTGAAGAATTCCCACTTTTAAGTCTGTTATTGAGTGTCCAGGGAGATTGAAGTGTTCTCCTACTGGTTTTTGAATGTTATAATTCCTGATGTCAGATTTGTGTCCATTTATTCTTTTGCATAGAGATTCTTTGGTTCTGATCCAATATCTTGTGATTTCACAATCCAAAGGATGGCATTGGCTAGAAGGAATGGTCCAAATTATAGCATTGTTTAGAAGGAATTAACCTATACGGAAAGGTTCAATGGCTGGAAATGTAGCTATGAAACAGGCTTCAAAAAGCAGGGCCAGATTTTCAGCCAGCGTAAATTGGCATAGCTGCTCTGAAGTCAACAGAGCCGCACCAGTTTACCCCAGCAGTGATCAGGACTGCTGTGTTTCAGTGGATACTACCAAACAGTTGTATTTTAGCATAGCATATGCCCTGGAGACCGTGAGAGCTATGGCTAAAATACAACTGTTTGGTAATATCCAACCAAAATATAGCGTGTTCGTGTGCACGCTCGCTCTCTCTCTCTAATTAATATATATATATATATATATATATACACACACACACACACTTACTTTAGGTAAAGCGTTTCCTTTATTCCCGCTAATGCTTTTGCTTCTCTTTCAACTCTAGCTTGTGTGAAGCAGAAATATTTTTGAAAGAGCAGATGAAATTTCAAAGCCATATGCACATTAGTGGCTTTATGATGGTCAGTTATCCATTATTTATTGCTTCTGATGCAGTTTTCTTGATGCAAAAATGTCTTCAGAATCGGCACTGTTTTTTTAATTGGTGAATGTGGGGCCATATCCTGAGGTGGTGTAAATTAGCCTAGCTCAATAGATCTGTGACCATTTATGTCTGCTCAGGGTCTGGACTTTGGTGTCTGAGATTGAAAGTTAGATGGGTAACCCTGGCTAGCAGATAATAGAATGCAGGTAGCTGCTGTGCAAACTTTTCCAGAGAGTTCATTCAAAGCCACCTTATTTATCGTTGGTACCTCATGAGGAGAGGTTACCAATTGTGATCATTTTATACCACACTCTGGTGGCTTTGTGACATGGAATCTCTCTGCTAGTGGCTAAATGCAGACCACAAACTATAACCCCAACTGGATTTGAAGTTTGGCCCTCAGTACAAAAAGGTGTAGTTCAACCTTTTTGAACTGAGTTTAGGCATCCCCATCCCCAATTCAAGGCTTTTTCTGTGTTGTTGTATAACACATGGGTGCCAATAGTTCCCTTTTGGTCATGTCTAGCTGGGTTGTACAGCCATGCTTGAAATTAGCAGATGCTTTTAAAAAGACAAAAAGAAGACTGATTTGACCTAGCAATTCACAAATGTCCCCGTTATTGTTATATTACATGCTATATCCTCATACTGAATTACAGGAGCATTCTGGGAACATGGGCAACTTTTTTTTTCTCCAAAAGACTTATGAGCATAAATCACGTAGGCCCAGATTTTTGAAGCTATATAAACATTGCTGTGCTCAGCATTGATGGAATTTAGATTCAAGTGCCTAAATCCTTTTGAAAACATGAAGGCTCCAAAATCTGCTAGGCACTGCGATGCTGAGTGCAGCTGTGCCTAAATAGCTTTAAAAATCTGGGCCTAAGGCACCTAGGAAATCTTTGACTTTGAATCATGCTTAAGTTCCTAGGAGCCTCAGTCACTTCTGAAAGTGGAAGTTATGCTCCTAAGTCACTTGGGGCATCTCCCCCCATGATCTGTGACCCCTCAACCCATCACCCTATTCTCCATTATCCTCAAAGCGACCTATTTCAGGCAAATATAGAGACACATAAAAATAAAGCATATTGTGGTTTACACAAGGGTGCACTATATTGGGTGCATTGCAAAGCATGAGACAGGAAAACCAGTTACTTTCCACCTGTGGAGGTATGTCATCAGCACCCTAGTAATCTGTAACTTGCTATGATTTATTGCTAACAGAATTTGTTTTCTAGCTACAAAAGAGAATCTGACGCATTAAAATATATTTTTTTAAAACCCCTAAATAACACTGCAGTTCTATAAATAGCTCCTAGAGGGCAAACAATCAGAGTTCATTTGCAACACAGGCAGCATTAGGTTCTAAATGAGGGCAGAAAGAGCTTAACAGCCCACCTTTTAAGTAACTGGGCTCCCTTTGTGGTGCTAATACCTCTGCAGATGGTAGGCTTGAAACATAGACAGTAACACTTTCCTGCTGGCTTCTCAGCCCCAGTAACAGATCCTATACACTACACGCGTCTTTTCAGCAATGATGTCCCTGCCAAAGTGAGTTGGTATGCAACTATGGCATTACTCATCTCATCAACCAGATAATGGCTTTGATTGAGTTCTCTATTCTGCCCATCACTCCGATGTCGGAGTGCTTCCCTTAGTCCCCGAAACCCTACATCTACTTTTCTCCTATTCCCCACCTCCCAATTTACCCTTCCTTTCTCTCCAGTCCTAGGATTCTTCCAACCCTTCTGATATAAGATGTTCATCCAGATGGTCTGTAGCTTCATGTAACTTAGAGTATATCTATACTGCATGAAAAGATGTGTTCAACCCCCGTGTGCCCTATAGGCTTTAACTTGAGCTGCTAACCTGGGTTAACAGCCAAAATGCTATGTCTTAAATGCTATTTTAACCCACGTTAGCGAATGCAGGTTAGCTACCTTTTGTTTTTGTTTTGCACTATAGACATACTCCCAGACTAAAGAGCATTCGTAACAGACGTTAGAGGGGTTGGGTTTTTTAGCAGACACTTAGCCATGGCTTTGCTGGCTCGTACGGTGAAACAGCTGCTGTTTTAAGTTCCCAGCTCAGGATTTCATTCCTGAACCAGCTGCCATGCTCCAGTTCACTGTTTATTTGACTCAGAGACATTCCTTGTAAAGGCCACTTTTATATGACTGGCACAGCATCAAATCTATGCAGTGAATAATTTCATTTTCCTTTCTTTCAAATAAGCCTCATACCACCACCCTTAGCTCAGCCTCTGGCACTTTCCTATTATGGAGTATTGGTGATTGGATCCACATCACCTGACTTGGGTTTCTACAAACCCTCTCTTGGAATTTGTTGCTCAAGATGTGTCATTGTCTCTAGGAAGAAAAGTGGCTAGCCCCATTAACTTTTACCCTTGGAGCAACTTGCATGGTATTTGGAGGGACGAGCATAGGTTGCAGGCGGGAAGAATTTGGAGGAGGCACCAGGAGGTCGTTCTGGTGCACATGGTTAGAATGCTAGCTGCAGTTGCATCATCTCTGTAAATAGTTCTCTTAATAAACAGCCAGTTTAGTTTTACAAGCATGGAGTCCTTTCATGTTATTACCCAGGATGTGGTATGTGAACTAAGACTAGCCTCCTCGAAGTGCTTAAAAACAGTTTCCTGGGGCTGAAGATGGACTTATGAATACTTCCAGATAATCAAAATATTGTCTAGATAGCACATGGCCCATTGCCATTTGGAATACTGCTGATGCATTGGCTATCTTTTCTCACAACCAGCTTCATACTGTAAATACCGTCTCCAGAGCATGCTAATATTTAACACAAGTTTGCTAACATCTTCAGCACAATTTTAGAATACATACTATTCTTCCTAGCTGTGCAAAACTAACCTGGGGTTGTGGAAGTGGATGACATTACACCTCTCAGGGTTGGATTAGCGGTGAATTTGTGTCTACACAGGGGTGAAAGTAAGATAAAATACTTACTGGTACGGGGACCCGCCTGCGGGCCCCCGGAAGGGGCAGGGCCTCAGGTGGAAGGGGCAGTGCTGGGGGGTCAGCATCCCCCAGCCTGCCCTTCAGTGCTGCCTGGGCTCCTGCCACGGTAGCAGCTGTGGCCGGGAGCCCTGGGTCCTTTTAAATCGCTGGGCCCCTGGGCAGCTGCCCCTTTTGCCCCCCCTTTTGCCCCCCCATCGGTCGCAACAGTGCTTTAACTTCGACTGTGTACGGGCCGGTACCGGCGGCCAGTTCTTACCGGTACGCCATACCAGCCTATACTGGCACACTTTCACCTCTGTGTCTACATATCCCAGCAGCTCCATATCAAAGTCAGAAACAATCATCGTCACCCCCGTCTTGTATTTAATTTAAGATGAAATTATCCCGACTAGTGCCAGTTCCTGAAGCTTCTGCTTCGTTGCAGACTTCAACAGATTGAACCTTGCACGGTACAATTATTCCAGCTAATTAAAGCCTGGGTGTAACCCTCTGAATGACATGTAAACCTGGTGAAGCGCTCTTTATTGAATTTTTGCCCTGTGCAAACAGTGAAGGCATTTTTGTTCTGTTTGTACAGTGCCTACCTCA